GGTAAGGGGATCTTAACCCTTGACTTGGTGTTGTCAGCACCACGCTCAGCCAATGAGCGAACCGGCCATCCCTATATGGGATCCGAACCCGTGGCCTTGGTGTTATCAGCACCACACTCTCCCGAGTGAGCCACGGGCCAGCCCCTATGGTTATTTTTTCTGCTTTTTAAAAGTTTTTTTTTTATTGAAATATAGTTGATTGTACATATTGAATCCTTTCCCTGATGCATATTTTTACTTTCATTAGGTTGCTTTTTCCTTTGATATGTGGAACCTTACTTCATGAAACCTTCCTATATCCAGCATACTTTTAAGAAGTCCCTTGGCACTAGTTCACTGTTATAATCAATTACATCTTCCATAAATGCTATGTGCTGTTTTCTTTTTGCTCTTTGCAGAAATAATTAAATTATAAACTTCTCAAAAGTAGAGACCATATTTTATGCCTTCTCTTTACATTCATCCAAATTTGGAGGTCTAAACCCATATAGTTACCTCAAAAGATTTTTATGCGAGATGGAGGGGTGGAAAAGTTATGTCAATATCTGCACCTCCATTGCCACCACCATCAAGTCCTCCAAAAGATTTTGTGGTCTCCATAGTGAGGCTGAATAGTGCCGTGATTATGAGCATGGAGTGCGTGATTATGAGTATGTAAAAGAGATCTGGCTAAACATCTAGATCTACCACATATTAGCTCTGTGATTTTGGCAAGTTACCTAACTTTCTATATACCTCAGTTTCCCTACCATAATAACAAGGATGATAGCTGTAGTAGACTATTTTCTTTCTTCTTCCTTTGAAATAGGTAAACACCCTACCTTATGAGGTTTTGCGCTTGGGGAGTGTGACCTGACCTCAGTTCAGGAGTAAATCTTTATTAGTATAAGGTAATCATGGTAATCCTGTTCCTAATTGCCAGTATCTGATTTAAGGGTGGGCAATATGTCATGTGGGGACCCAAGGTTCTCTAGGAAAGAATAGATTTTTTTCTTTCTCTCTTTAAAGAGATACAAAGGGGAGAGGAGAATACCTTTCTTCTGTCGAAAGTTGTCATATCTGGATGTGATATCTGGAACTTCTGTAGCCATTTTGCAAGCATGAGGACAGCTAGCTTGAAGACAAGCTAAGAGTAGCATAATGGAGATATGGAAGTATTCAGAATCCTTGGACATTGTTGGGCTGTTGAATTAACCAACCTTAGAGTTGATCTACCTGCAGACTTCTTGTTACATAATAAATTCTCCTTTTTGTTTAAACCGGTTGCATAAGAATGTTGTTACTTGCAAAATGAGACAATATTCGTCTATGTAAATCACTTAATACAGGGTCTGGCACAGAGTAAGCAATAAGTAACATTTACTAATAATTATTCTAATTTATTTCCTAGGTCAGTATAGAATATTCTCTGCCTCTGATCTTTCATTTTTAAAAACCACATAATTCATTGAATTGTGTTTTTATATTTATTTTTAATCCAAAATATTTTTTCTATCACCAGCAACATTAAAAACTCTTCTATACTCATTATTTTCTCAAATGTGTAAAATATTACTATTTATATAAGTATCCATTCATGGATATCCTTAGATGAATAGAAAAGTGTTCCATACACTTTGTATAAAATCAATAAGCAGTTGGCTCAGTTGGTTAGAACACCACCTTATAACACTGAGGTCAAGAGTTTGGCAGAACCCCACACCAGCCAGCTGCCAAAAAAAAAAGAAACCAACTTGTATTCCTGAGTTTCTAATTCAACATACTATTTCATATAAAAATGTTAAAATGTTTTATTGTAGAAACATAAAAAATAAAAAGTACAAAGAACAGTGTAAAGAATTCTCAATTATTGACTCAGGTCCAATCTCACAACACATACCTCTACCCACTTCTCCCTCTCCCAGACATCATATCAACTGCAAATAACTCAGACAAGGACTTTCTTGTTTAGAATAAAATCAAACACATAATAACTTAATCACATCTGAAACATATGAATTGTCTGTTAATGAATAAGTACCCAAAATATAAACCACAGATGTGGAATGACATCACCAAGTATGATTTTTTTCTGTTACTCTGTACCACTTTTATGTAATACTCTTCCCATTTTCTAAGAGGACACTTTTAGACAAGAGGTCATAACCCAGTGGCTTGCCTGTGATGTTTTGCTTGGAATATACAAGGCTTTTATTAAAAATAAACAAAGTACTGAATGGGAATGTACTTTCCAAGATCACCACTGTTCCCTTTACTTGATGTTGTCTTATCTTTACCCAGTTTCACATTTAAATTATGTGTCTGGCTGTAAGCATCTGAAGTTGTGGTCTCTGCTTTAGAAACTGGTACTCATCAAAATGACTTAGCTTTTAACTCTCATTACCTATCAGTTAATTTTTTAAAAATCTCTGACCCTCACTAATTTCTGACATTTTTCTCAAGCTTTCATCCCCAGAATGAATCTCCTCATACATTGGAGGAAAAAAAATAACCTACTAAAACTCCATCACTTCCTCATATCACTAAACAACTTCTAGGCATTTTATTGATATAGTTTGTATTATGAAATATCTATTTATAAAGCTTATATTTGTGAAAGTCAAGTGCAAAGAAATCCTCATCTTGTAAATGCTGAAAACTTTTTCTCATGGAAATTTATGTATCAATGCTGAGCCCCTCTCCTTATAGGCATGAAAGTTAGACATGTCACTCTTTTAAACTTAGCTCTCAAAATCTTTCTTAACACAGCACTCCAGAAGCCAGCATTTATTCCCAATTATTTGGAGTTGGTATAAGAAATAAAGTCTATTGGTCATCTGTGCTCTTAAGGGTACTTCAAAAAGTCTGCGGAAAAAAAGAATTAAAAGATAATTAGAGCCTACTAACATCTGAAGTGTAGTACCAGTACTTGGATGGACAGTGGTAGTAGAAATGTATCAGTCAGCCCATTTCTCCCTCTACTAAAGAATTTCAGTCAGCAAAGTAGAAAAGCTGATGGTAAAACAATAGCTAAAACAAACAATCAAAAACAAAACAATAGTTAATATCTGACCACTTAATATGGGCCAGGCACTGTTTCAGGTGATTTCCATGTATTTTCTAACTTAAACTTTACAGCAACCCTATGAGGTTGGTACTGTTGTTATTTCTATTTCAGAGAGAAAGAAACTGAGGCTTAGATAAACTGTCCTTTGTCCAGGGTCACATAGCTGGTACACAGTGGAGACTAGATTAGAATTCAGTATATATAACAATTTCTTTTTTTTTTTTTCTTAGTTTGTTCATTTTCTCTAACAATTTCTTTAATGGGGAACACAGTCCATGAAATGCTCAGGTGATAGAATACTGAATAAACGAGCCCAGAAAGCCTTTTTCTTTTGTTGTAAAAGGCTAAAAATAGTTTGACAAAAAGCATTATTTTCCAGGTTAGTATAAAATAAACTTTCTGTCTCTGACTTCAGAAGGAGAAGGTAACAGAAGATGATATGACTGAATTACAACTGGACAATTTCCGCTATATCAAATTACCTCAAAAAATGGGACTTTCATTTTAAGACAGAATTGTCATTCACGAAGCCCATCTATGAGAAGTATTAAAATATCTCTAAAATGCATTAATCCAAACAGAACACTTAGATCACACAGTGCTGGTAGAAGAATATGGGTTTCTATGTGAATCTCTTTATTTCTGACAGAAGTACATTACTTATACTATTTAACAATTACCTTAGTTCAATAACACTTTTTTGATCATTAGATTCTTTTTTTTTTTTTAATTGCAAGGGTAGTAAAGATACCAGGTCTTTGTTCTTAAAAAACGTAAAAAACACTGAAATGTATAATGAAGAAAAGCTTAATCCCCCAAAAGAATCGCTATTAACAGTGTACATTTCACCACAGTTGCGAGCTGAATGGTAATTTCTAAGAAGTATTTTAGTGTACGGGCTGGCCGGTTGCTCAGTTGACTAGAGCGATGCCGATCACACCAAGGTCCAGCCGTCTATCCCTATACTCGCCAGCCGCCAACAACAAAACCAAAACCAAAGTATTTTAGTATACAAATATGTGACTTATTCACAATTTTTACAAAACACAGTTAATATTCCACTTATTTCTCACTCCTAAGCAAAATGTAGGAGAAAATACATACGCAAGAATAATTACAAGATTTTTTAGCTATCATCTCTCATGATGTTAAAGCGGTCTTGCTTTAGATTACGGCCGTCCAACCATTACCTATTAAGAGCAAAAAAAAGTACTCCTGGGTCCTAAGCAAAACCTGGGGAACAAACATCCAGTAAACTACAGGATGCAGTAAATGGCATCGTTCTTCAGAAGGGCTTCACAAAATCTCAATAAAAACACAACGGTGGTTTAACAAATGAGTATTAACAATGTTAACTCATCACTTAAGTAACAAGAGAGCAGAAGGTAGGTAGACGCAGTAATGAACTAAGAAGCTACCAGCGAGGATTCCGAACGTTTCCCCCTTTCCCGACTGCTTCTGTTTGCAAAAAATAGTTTACCAAAAAGCAAACACAATCGGTGGTCCACAGACTAGACTAATACAGAGTTCTGGCCCGGGCCTGCCTGTTCCCTGCAAGACACAAATCAAGTTTAAAACCACAGGAGCTAGGAGTCTCATTCGTTTTGGGCGAGGGAGGAGGTCGCGCATATCAGGCACTGGGAGGGGGAAAGAGGGGACATTGGCAGCCTGCGTCCTACACCAAGCTCCACACCCCGTGCGCTCTTTACCAATCGTGTCCACTCGGTGCGTGAGGAGCAGAGTCTGGGAGCCGCACCGGGCGGCGGCGGCGGCCGCCTCGGTCCCGGCATGTCCTCCACCGATGACTACCACGTCGAAATGCGGAGTCCGAGGAGCCGCGCTGTCCCCGCTGAACCGGGCCAACGGAAGCTGCTGTTTGGTGAGGGAAGCCGCGACCCAGCGGCCACAGCCTCGGAGGGATAACATGGTGGGTGAAAGCCAGAGTCTAACTTTGAACCTCACACAGCCAGCGGCAAAAAACCTAGGCGATGAGAGGAAATCTACAGGGCGCAGCCATCTTGCCTGATGTCACGGCACAGCGCGTCTACGTCCAGCGTCGCCGCTGATGGGTGGTATGGCGCGACTCACCGGCAAAGGGAGATCGCATAACGACGCAGGTGGCGGGGGCGGTGTATGCTCCCTTTCCCGGTGCCTGCCGGTATTTGATTGCTTATGGTTCTGGGTTGCAGACTCTTACTAAAGATCATCTTCTCTTCTTTCCCGGAAGTTGCAGTGCTATTCGCCAGGTGGCCACTTATGAGCAATGAATTTGATCGCTTTGCCTTATCAAATACTTTGAATTTTATGGTACACCTTGACTTCTGTTTGTCTATAAAAACTAAAGTCTGAAGATAGGAATAGATTAGTAAGAAATTCAGACATACTTGTGGGGCTGGCCGGTGGCTTGCTTAGAAGAGCTTGGTGCTGATAACACTAAGGGCAAGGATTTGGATACCCCTTCGGGCCAGCTGCCAAAAAACAAAACAAAACAAAACCCCAGACAAATATATTTGTGGATGAAAGATTCATGATGGCTGTTTAATAAAAATCACTGGAGGCTATTGTCTTGGGCTAGGTTCCTGCACTAGGCCTCAACGGAACAGACTAAAAAACCAAAATGGAGTCAGCCCTGCTAAATTCTAGACACTTAGATTGTGGTCTGTTATTTCTTTCTCCTAAGAAGTCGGGAGAAAGAGATAACAGCCAATTTGCCAAACATGCCAGTCTAAATCTTCAATAGGTATGGTAATGAAGTTCTCTCTGCTTTAATCCTTACACAAAAGAGATACCCTGAAGTAAACTGATGTTAACTGATCCCTTATTTTCGTATTGTTCAGTCTCCTTGTTCCCACCTTACAAGGAAAATAACTTTGGAATGACCAATCCGCTTTTTCTTCTTTGTTTCTGCTTTCCTTAGCCTCTTTCTGTCTATAAAACCAACATTCTCTGCTTGGTTCCTTGGAACCACTTATTCTATTTTATGGAATAACGTGTTGGCCGATTCTAGAATCACAACAAAGCCAACTGAGATCTTTAACTAAATTTGTTGTAATTTTGTTCTTTGACTTTACTAAAATGACAAAATATATAATTTTGTTGTCCTGTTACATTAATCATAAACGTTCTTTATACTGAATTTAAGCCTTACAAAATACAAAACTTGTAAGTTAAAGAACCCATAACTTCCACGAGGACCTGCATCCCCACCCCATGATTATTATCAGCACTTATTTGCTAATGCTTTCTAATTTTTTTATACATAACTAAAGCTACTATTATTTTGTACATATACTGTGATTATACTGTTTTACAGTTTGCTTCTTTCCACTTAACAATGTGTTTCCGTGCCAGTGTTTATGAATCTATCTCACTTTTTAATACTGTTACATAATATTCAATTGTGCATATAAGCCGTTTAATCAATTCCAATTAATGGACATTGGAGGTGGGAGCTGTAGGGCCCCATAAAACCCCAAAGGAGACATTCCCTAAAACATGGCGCCTTTCTGGCTTCTCTTCCGGGTCCTAACATTCCTGCCGGCGCCAAAGTATGGCCTATCAAAATCATTACCTGCCCTTCCGACCAATCAGCCACTGCCCTACATACTAACCACCCTCTCCCAGAACTCAGCTCTCTATAAATGTATGCTTCACCCTCAAATAAAGCAGAACTTCTCCGGTGAACTGTCAGCTCGGGTCCTGTCGTTCTCTCATTGGTGCTGAAACCGGGAGGAGCTCACCCCTTACCCGAGGGGACTCCTTCTCAGACCTCCTTCACTCTCTTGGTGGTTCCCGCTGCTGACGCTTCGCCCTCGTCCATTTTCTCCGGTGCTGGCTTTCTGCACCCACCACCGGCTCATCCAAACGTAAGTCTCCCTTTAGAGGTGCCATTTCAAACTAGGACTACCCCTCCGGTGTCCAGCCCTAACAGGGCAGTATGCCCCACTATGGCCTTCAGGGCCTCAGTGGACCCCTAAATACTCCCTCGTCACACCAGACCATCCACATTCTACTCCTCTCCCAACCCAAAGTTAAAGGCGATCCTTGCAGGGCGAAGCTCTCATTCTCTCGCTTTCTCTTTCAACTTACTGTTTCTGTTTCTCTGAGCCCAGGGCTCCCGAAAATCCCAGCACCAGAAGGCACACTAGACCCTGATATTCTCCAAGATTTGTTTAACCTCTGCCAGTGCCAGAGAAAATGGAAAGAGATTCCCTATGTTGAAGCTTTCCGCCTACTTGCCCCAAATCCCTCCCTCTGTCTTACCTGTTCTCCCTCCCAGGTTCTCCTCGCTTCCAAACCCCCTCTGTCCTCGCCGCCTCTGTCATTCCCTACTTCTGATGATTTTGACCCTGCAGACGAACCTCCTCCGTACAGGCCCCCTCCTCCTGTAGTTCCGTCTGCCCCTGAATCCCCCACAACCCACTCCACCGCCATCTTCCGCCCCGCCATTTTCTGCCTCACTGGCTCCACCACTATCTTCCACCACACCTAACCCTTCCGCTCTTCCTCCCCCGTTTAGCCCCCCCTACTTGTTCTCAGGGACACCCCCCATCCTCCACTGTGGCTCCTCTCTGTGAAGTAG